GAGAGCAAAGCTGAGAGGCAAGCAGAAATGACCTGTATTCGATCCTTTCTGAATATTGTGCTGTATCAAAAAAAAAAAAAAAAAGCTGAAAATAACAGGGGTGACTATTATTACTTCTTTTCCTGTGTCAGAAAATTCAAGATCCTGTTAGAAACAGATTGCCATTATGAAAACTGAGGAATGTGTTCAGAAGATTTCAGATGGAAAGTCTCCCATATGCATCCAGGAGCAGTGTCCTTTTGTGTTCTAAAGTTGTGATGTTTTTCTTGCTTAAAAGGAATTTGGATGAAAAATTGGATGAAAATTGGATGAAGACTGCAAATATTAATGTGCAGAGCTTACAATGTCCTTTATGAAATAAATTAATGATTTGATGATGTTCTCAGAACAAAGCACAGCACTTTCTACGTGCTTCATCCCATCTATAGCCATGTGCTTCATTACACGACCATGGACTTTCAAGGTCACTCAACTGATCTTGAAATGTTTCTAAAAGATCTGACAGTTGATGGGCACTTTAGAAACAAAATGACCTTTTTTTTTTCCCACAGAGACAATGATTTTTGCTGTTTTTTTTTTTCTTCTTCTTCTTTTTTTTTTTCCTGAGTGTATAAAATATAGCCTCTTTGATCTTGAGCAAACTAAAAAATTTAACAAAGAAAACCATATCATAACCCTTCTCGTAACATCAAAGAATTATATAAAGAAAGGATAAAGAGCAGGGCACATTCTTGTTCATCCCACTTTCTTTTTCTTTCAGTTGAGGGATGGTCACTAAATTCAACCAGAGAACTTGTAGTTCAGCCACTGGGATCTTCTGCTGTTGAATCCATTACATTTGCAGATCACCACACGTCCAGACTGACCTATGCATTTCATCTGCCATCTCTGTGCATGGCCATTTACCAGGTCAGGTAAACAATGACCTGGTTGGGTGCCAGGAGGTCTTGATTTGTCCAAAAGTACTTTTAGCTTTTGGTAAACCTTTTGCTCATCCACATGCTGTAACTCTTAAATCAGCTATTCTTTATTGCACATGGGTTGAATCTCATGTTACACTCCAGAAATCTGAGCCAAAGACAAGTGAATAATTTGGGAGCCGGAAATGGGGGAGAGGGAGCAAGAAATCATAGCTGTGTAAACTGTTTGAAAGGCCTCATTAGATACAAACGTAGTTGCTGTCACTGTCATCTGATCTGCTTTTTCTGGTACTTTGAGAGATTGCGGGTGACAGAACAAAATCCACCACCAGTTCATCTAACAAAAGGGCACTTAATTTTTTTGATCTAGAGGTGTTGACTTGCTTTGGTGGTTCTTATACCTCTTGTTCACATATGCTGCCCAGATGTTTTCCAACTCAGATCTATGTTTTACCCATTGCTGTGGTTAGAGGGCTAATGTGTGAATTCAGCTAAGAATTTGTAGTGGCTTCTTTACCCATTGAAATGGACAGAGAACACTCTGGGTAGACCGAGAAGAGACTTCTAAGGTTAAGATTTGTTAAATGGTACTGTTTGGCAATATCTTCAGTGGAACTATTTCAGAGATATCAGGATAAAAGCCTTCTTCAAGCCAGAATTCCAATGATTTATATATTTTTTTTCAAAGTGAAAGTGGGTGTCTGATTTTAAGTCCTTTGCCTTATATTAGATCATCAGAAATGGCAGCAGCAAAATGTACTTTTGGCACTTGAGTTTTCTTCTTCTTTTGATCTTAAAAGCCTGTGCTTTTAGGAAAGGAAAGTAATCTGGACAGGAGACTACAATGCTGGGACTCAAGTAATTTCTAACTTGGTTTCCCAAGCTGGCTGTCACAAATGCTGAGCTTCTCTCATTTCTACTATAAAATGTTGTTGTTAAAAATGTTGGTTATTTACAATCCTTGAAAGGACTGGTTAATTAACAACAGCTTGTTGAGTGATTTCAAGATGGAAAAATATGTCAATTACCACAAATAGTAAAGGCATTGCAGGCTAATTTTCATTGATGATAATGTTGATTAACAAATTCACAACTCCAACAAACACTGTTACTGCTTCTTAGCAGTAGCAAGAGTAATAAGAGTTGCCATGAGAACTGATGCATCTGAGTGTTCACTGCTACTGATGACTTTTTATTATTAGGATAATGATATTCATTGGTTTCTAGAAGATATACCAAATTAAGGAGCTGTCACTCCCTCATTATCTCTGCCTGGTGGTATACTATCATCTATCTCAAGGAGCAAGTGCCTCATGAGATTCTCACTTCCCTTTCTTCTTCTTCCAGCCCCTTTGTAATGAGCTTCCTCCCAGGTGGGTGCTAACAGAAACCCAATAGGCATGCTTAAGGCACCATACAAACAGGATGGTCTGCAGAATGCTGAATAATGTAGGAGCATTGTCCCATTTTTAGATCTCAATAATAACCTACGCTCTGAAGTTCCTTAACCTTCTCTTTTTTGAGAAATGGCAGGATTCCACTTTTTGTCTTATGTCAAGGCATTTTACAGTGATTTATGGCAAACCTAAGGAGCTTCTCCCCGGTGGTTATGATAATTCTAGGACACTTGTTTCATCCGTCTTTATCCATTTTTATTATGAACTGCTACAGTAAAAGCTTCACTGGGTAGTAAAAAATAAATTAATGTCAAAATAATTTGCCAATTTCCGTTAACAGCTAAAATTCTGATTTTAAAGGGGTAAATTTAAACCGGGTAAAGTGAAAGCCTCATCTCATTATTTTTGAACTCTGCTTTGTGAGTTAATACTTGTTACTTGTTTCCTTAGCAACACAATTAAAACAATAATTTAAAAAGGAAAATATCTTCTTTCTTTTCTCTTGAGCAACTGAACAAGGAACAAGCTGAACAGCCCTTCTCTGCTGCCCTGTTCTTATTTTCAGTGAAATATTGGCTTTCTTTTAAAAAAGAAAACTGCATTTCAAAAATCATGCTCTCTCAACATCACTGTCATCGTAACTAAAAAAAAATGCTGAAAAATGTACATCTTTGGCAAAATTTGGTTTCCAGATAATTTGGTGAGAGATTGTTCTTTCTATGGTTCTGTTAATTTTGTTACACAGCTCTGGCTTAATCTGAGTCTGCTATAGGCAGCTTGGTCTCATACACGGTTCTGCCTCCTTTCAGCTGCAGGCTGTAGCTGTCTCAGTAGAACAATATGTCTCTCTCTTTTCTGCAGTATTGATAAGGAATATTTGGATGGCTCTGACAGACTTGACTGGATTTTGTGTTCCTTTGTTACTGTTGCGGTCAATAGACCCCTGTTGCTGATCGGAGGCACGTGAGATTTGCATTCTGGAGTCTATTCTGGATTGTTTCTGATGGATGTACTGCAGGACCATGACATAGGGGATCAGGGCATGGCTCCTAGAGGAGATGTGTCTCCTTTGCCAATGTGAGAAAACATCAGAAAAGGATCTTTGAAGCCAGCCATGCATTGTGGAAGACGTGTACTTGTTTTTATAGTTCTAGTTTTGGCTGAACAGCAAAACTGTATGATGAAAATGTGGGAGTTATTTGCCCTTGCAAATAAATAACTGAAAATTACTGTGGTGGAACATCATAGTCTCTTTACAGGGTAGAAATTGCCATAGTGAAATGCTGTTATTTCTGCACAGAATGGGTATGGAAAGCAAAAGCACTTGGTTAGCTGATTTCTTTCCCTGTGCATGTTTTGAAGCAAGTCTGCTAAATAAATCACTTAATGGGAATTTGCTGGCTCATTCCTCACAGGCAAGTAGGCAGACAGTAGCCTGTTTTATCTATGCACCATCAGCAGACAGGTAGGCACTTACAAAGTCCAGATCAGTTATAATGCATAGTGCAACACAAAGATGTTGATGAGAATATAATCTGAACATGAGGTGCTATATTAATAAGTGCCTGTTTTTTATTAGCGAAGCCTTTACCCCTGCTAAATGGTGCATGTAAGGCAAAGGACAAGATTAATTTTAGATCCACTTGAGGTTGGAAGGCTGAATGGAGCTGATCTGATGAACAGCTGATGAACATAAACAATCAATATGTCATTTTAACAGGAACTGCATGAAAAAAAAAAATAATAATCCTTTTCCTTGAATGGCTGCTCACAGCTCATCATCAGGAATACAAGTTCATTTTTTCTTTCCATTTCATATGCACTGGAGAGTGTGCACATTAAGAGAGAAGCCATACCAATATCTTCACAGCATTAGCACAATACTGTGTGTCATTAAAAAGATAAATGATGAGGTTTGGGAATAATGTGTATAGCTTGACTTTTTCCTGAATATTACTTAAGAGTATGAAATATCTAAAAGTGATGTGAGTTAGTGGTAATGGAAACTACCCAGCATGAAATTACGACATAAAAGCCCTGTGCCTTTTTATAAGCACATCCACTGACATCACATCACAATATTTTGATTACTATTAATATTCACATGTCTCTGTAATCTTGAGGGCTCCAGTATGTCAGTCCTGCTCCATTGCATTCAGCTGGAGAACAAAGCCTGCCATAGATCTCAGGAACCACAAAAGGTAGCCCTGGCTGTCAGCATGGAAACAAAGGTACATTGTTGTCTCCTGAGCTGCTTGATCATTGGGGCAAAGTCTCTTGGTTCTCAAACAAATATATTTCTCATTCAAATTAGTTGTAGTTGTGGGGAGTAGACAGTAGTCTGTGGGAGAAACGCAGGTTTTGGTCTTCTATATTTAGAAATAAAGACTGTGTATTTAGAAGGAAAAGGAAGGGTATGGGTTGTTTTTGTATGCAGCACTCATGCACTCATATAAGAGGACAGCAGCAGCTAAGCTAAGCTAATGAGCTTGCCCCTGGAAGGAGGTGCTTTGTGGATGCAAAGCTCTCTGCTAGAAGTTCCAAAAAGGACATGGTCTAAGCATTTGCTATTGTGTATTTTCTACCTGTTGTTTGTTACACACTTTTTTCCCTAACAGCAGGAGATGACCAGCATTTTCAGTGGCCTGCTGCCTTTCCTTCTCATTCCCTTTGTACTTTTCAGACATGCAGCTCTCAATTGCCACCCCAGAGTGTTCCGGTTGGCACGGGCAGTCAGGGGACAACACTGCAAGCAATATCACCCACGGCGACAAAAACAATGTCAAGAAACACATTGCCCATCTGCAGTACTTATGGAGCCAAACCAATGGAGCACAGCTGTAAGCTAATGATACCTTACCCCCAGAAATAATATGTGTTTCATAATGCATTTTGCTGGGAGTCAGGGACACAGAATGGAGAGAGAATGGAGACCACAGCAGATGGAGCACTTAGATGTGTTCTATTTTTTATACTTGCATGCTTGTTTCTGCATTAGCCAGTCTTATACGTGCTTTGTGTATGAACAACTAAGCCTTTATATTGGTAGCCCTTAGACTCCTAGATAAATAAATATAGATCCAGAGTCACCTCTGAATATTTAGGTCTCATGGTGGCAGAACTGTTTCCTGTTCCATCCCTTTCTGATCCCTATTTCAGGCACACACAGACAGTCTTTTGCACAGAGGCTTTCCATTAAATGAAGAACTGAAACATATTTTAGAACTGGCTTTCCAAATGTAATTTCCTGTATTCCAGGACCACACAGATTTTGTGGTCAGTGGTTCCACTGTTTTGTGGGGGGGGAAGAAAAATGCCTGTTTAACATAGATATTATTAGAATATCTTCGATAAGTGGAAAATCTAAGGCCTGAAGAAGCTGATTTTTTTTAAAATTTTTTTTATTTTATTTTGTGTGTGTGTGTGTGTGTGTGTGTGTGTGCAGACTATGGGAGTCACAGGCTGGTAGAACTACATCACTTCCTAGACAAAGATATCTTGCATAAATATTTTATGAGTAGCTGCTTAATTATGGGTTGTTATTGTCTCCCATAATATTTGGAATCATAATTCATGTATTTGCTTAGTACAAGCATGCAGTACCACATGTTTGTGGCCTTATATTATACTGAGGAATGTGCTTATGGTAGTATAGTCTTTCCATTCTTTTTGTTTTTCTGAATTCACTACTAATCAGTGTTAAATTTGGTACCCTGATTGTGTGCTTCTGTAATTTAAACTGCTTACATTTCTTCAATGTTTTTACCTTCACTCCGAATCTCCTGGCTTAGTAACATCTTCTTTTCCAATACTCACAACATGCCCACTATGCATTTACCAATAAGTTCTCTCAACCATAACTCTCTTCTACCATAGTTACCTTCTGTGTTTGCAAATTATGATTACAAATACTGAAGGCAACAAAAAAGACTTGACAAAAGTTTGGTTCCAGCCTTGTTTTCATCTACTGTGTTATCTACCTTGGGGAAAAAAAAGAAAAAAAACAACCATAAATTATTGTCTCCATTACTTTCACTATTCAAATGCTCATTTTCCTGCTAAATGAAATGCAGATGTGCTTTATTAATTCTGAATATTCTTACTGCTTCCCAGGAGTCAAGTCTCAGCTTCATCAGACCACAAGGATATCCTTAAAGCTCAAGACCTTTCTGTCATCATAAAAGCATACGTGCTAGTTACATCCTTAACACCTTTGAGGGCTTTTCTTCATTCAGCTGCTACTGTCTGGCATCCACCCAAGAAGAAGCACTTTTCTGTAAAGGTAAAATGTTTTGTTTCCTAGTTTTTGGTTTTTTACAGACAAAGTAGAGACAGAAAACCAGGTAATGTTTATTTTCTCTTTTCCCTCTTTTTTACTTGCAATCATGAGCTGACAGTGATGGTTCTTATCAAGTACTGCTTTCATATCTCAGAAAAAGTGGGGCTTCATTCATGAAGGAGAGAAAATCTGGCCTGTGCAATGGGGGCTATGAAGGGCCCTGGGATTTGCTTGTTACAAAGCCAGTTTTTGCTGGTGAAACTTCACAGCAGTTGCACAGTCGGAGTTTTCTCTAAAGCTCAGCTTCAGAACGCCCTGATGCAGTAACATCTTTTGCCTGGACACTGACAGTGTTGTAAAAAAACAAAAGTAAATATTTAAATTATTTGTTTAGATTTCTTTTTTAGGTGCAGTAAAACAGAATGGATGAGTGTCAGGGCACATCCAAATAAGGAGAAGGAAGTATTCTGTGGAGAAAGTGGCTTCTCGTGGTCTGTAGGTCTTATGGAGAAGGATGTATCCTACGTGCTTTAACTCTGGCCATCCCCAAGTGCCTGGAGAGACCCCTCTCTCTTCATGTCTAGTTTCCTCAGCAGTTGTATGGATACCGAATGTATCTTTCCATTCCTTTGTTCTTTCAGCAAGGAACTGTCCTTCCACACACAGCACTTTTTGAAGGAACTATAGGTTTGCAGCTGCTCCTTTTTGAAGGAAAAAGATCACAAAGTAGCAGTGATTTCTAGAGGTGACATAACTCCTTCAGCAGCCCTCTGAGGATGGGTGTACTTTGCTCATATAACACACTCAGGACAGGAGCAGGTCTTGTCTTTGAATCAGCGTGAACATTGTGGCATCACTGCCAGGACTCTCGATGATGCTAATAATTTGGTATGCTCTATAATTTTAGCTCTGTGAAAGTTAAATGCCTACTCTAAGCTCATGATCTAATTCTAGTTATTGAAGAAGCAGACAACTCTAGGGTACAGAACATCTCAGTTTAGACACTACTTTTGGAATGAGGTAGGTTTCCTTCTAGAAATATCTGTTGCTTTCCACAGGCTACGACTATCATAGGGAACAAGGCAAATTCTAGATGGCAAAAATTAGATGAGACAAACCTACTTACCTCTCTTTCCCTCTTCAGAACCCCACTGAAATATATTATTTTACATTTCCTTTATGTACATTTAAAAAGACTAGTGGACACCCACTTTCAACCCCCGGAAGTTTGGTTTTGTGTACTAAAATACCAAAGTGTTCAGTATCTGAAGTAGACAGTACTTTGAAGGTTATTAGTCATTAATGGCTCTGATATGGCTCTGTAAAATAATTCCAACTGAGGGAAGTCTGCTGAAAGGGGTGCCAGTCATCATTTACAGAATACTTTGCAGCTGAAGAAGCAATAAAAAAGACAGATAGAAGCAGCAGCACGTCTGCAGTATTCCTGTCTGGTTACTACTTCTGTGGTGTTACATCTTCCACAGCTTTAGGCAGACTTGTCAAAATGGCATGAAATACACAAAAATAGGCACCACAGAAAGCACATTTGTAGTGATGAAGAATTTCAAATACAAATCAACAAAACAATGGAACGTATGTCTATAAGACTGCCTTTCCAATAAGCAGTGCACACTGTATAGCCTGGGAGGAGCCAGGGAGATTCACTCAGCAGCCAGAAGCTCCACTGGGAAATCAGAGAGGCTACTGTGCTTGGTGAACAGGCATCAGGCAGGAGTCATTAGAAAGGCTGGCATCAGTCAGGAAAGAGACTTTTGGAAAATTCTCTTTCAATTAATTCAGTCGTAGATCAACTTTGAGATGAGATTACATCAAGTTTCTAGGAAACTCTGTGGAGTCATCACTTGTTGCCAGAGAGATATACAGTGCCAGCATCACGATTTCCTCTTCCAGACTTTACAGTGGAGCTATGTGTGTTTGTACAACTAATCTGGTTCAGCATGCTTCTATAAGCATTACGTTTTTGCCAGCTCTAGTGTGTAGGAGAGGAAGTTGTTACATTGTGAAGATCTAGCATGTCAGTAGTTGATAAAAACAGAAATGATGTCTAAGATCTGTTCTTCCACTGATGGACAGAATACCCATTGATGTCACTGGGAACTGATTGTGCCTATAGAGGAGACTTGGGTCTGGAATAAAATTGTTACTGTGTGATGTTTTCTTTTCTCAAGAGTAGCTGATTGAACTCATCTTTTAAAATGAATAGTTTTAATCTGCTGTATTGTATCATAGATGTATTGCTTTCAGTAATGTTGCACAATAATTTGGAGATTTGCATAGTGTATATAAGCATCTGTTTAGCAAATTTTCTTGCGCCAGTGTAATTAAACCATTATTGATAAAAAATGGATTCACAACTTTGGCTGAATTCCAACTTTACCACCACAAACTAACACGAGGGTGCATCTTTAGTACTACAGACTCAGTATCTTGAGTTTAAAATTTGATCTTCTGTGCAAAACAACCCTTTATGGTTGCAAAAAATAACCAGAATGTGGTATGTGTGAAAGAGATATTTTTCAAGTCTGGAGATGAGGTACCAAATGACAACAAATGGTTTACAAAAACTGCGTAAAGACGAAAAATAAGTTTAAATTAGTTAAATAACACTCCACTCTCCACTGTTAGTAGACTGTTGTAAATAATTTTTATGACTCAGATTTGCTTATCCTAATCAGAGTGATAAGTCTTTATAATGACTCCTAGAATAAGCATTGGCCAAATGGCAGTTCAGGAAGAGTTCAAGTTCATTTTACTCACCAGCTGCCGGGGCTTTTTTGTGATTATGCAGATTTTAGAATCTCAGTTCAGAAAGGAAAAAAGTTAAAACTTGAATTGGCATGAAGATTTTGTGTGTGCTCAAGGGGTGGCGAAAGTACAACTCTAGATCTGGGTCCTGGTTGGGAAGATGCAGGAAATGCAGTGAAGAGAATGGCTTTCTGCCACACAAATGTTATGAGGCTCACATAATAGCCTTATTTCCATGAGGAAATTTGGAAACTCTTTATTTAGACCATCTGTGCTTTGAAAAAATAATAATAAAATGGAAGTTTTCTACTTTGCATATGGTACCAATTAAGGGAGGGATCTCTATGTGCAATAATTGCCTTCATATTAATCAAATACGCATGTGTATTAAACAAAAAGCTGACCTACGAATAATTTTCTGTTTTATAGAAGCTAGTGTGTAAGACATTCATTTATGATTAATTATCCCAAGGTTTAACACACGATATAAAGTACTTCCTTTGCTCAGCCATTAGTTTTTCCCAATCTGGTTCCAGTTCATAACGAAGGATGCAGTTTTGCAGAATTCAGTAGTGCCACACTGTGCGTCAGCTGGGAAGATTCTTCTGTGTTGTAGGCTGCCTTGAACGGCTCCCTTTCTGTCTCATTGTCCATTTGCTCATCAAAAACATGTGTCAGGTTCCTCTCGGACTTGAATTTGTTGACCGTTTTATGAGCGTAGCCCTAGATGACCTTAGCTGAGCCTATGCTTATCACTTAAAAAGTGATTTTCAAGTTGCACAGCGAAGTAAACATACTAAACTGAAGCTGTTTCACAGAATCATAGAATCACAGAATGGGTTGGGTTGGAAGTGACCCCCCTGCCATGGGCATGTTTACCAACCAGATCTTACTGTGGTATGACACTATAACCAAAATTCTGTTTCTTGTATATTAGGTATTTGAAAAATTGAGTAAAGAAAAATAATTATCATACTTAACATACATGCAACTAAAACTGGACCCTCAACTGTCCAAGAAATATGTCTTTAAATAGGACATGGAAATCTGGTTTAGAGCAGAACGCGGAAAATTAGGTTACAGTACTGCCCTCAAGTGGCCAATTTTGATACTACTTCACATATTTTATATGAAATAAAATGCAAGTGTTCATGCAGATAAAAATCAAAATGGTTAGAGACAGCAGAAACTTTCAGGACTTTTTTCCTTTGTTTTAATTTGGGATTACCCATTCTTGCCCTGTTACTTAGCAAGAGTAAATGCAGCAGAAAATTACCGTCAACTATTAATTAAATTGCAGGCTTATTTGGGAATAAAATTAAATTTGTGCATTAGGTGTTGTTAGAACTTACCACATGTATTTCACTGTTCTTTCAAAAGGCCTAAGCAGAGAATCTTCCTGAGATACTGAGCATAGCATAGTGGCTCTGATTTCTCTACTCAAATCATTTAGAACCCATTTAGTCTGTTTGGACTGGGGAAGATTAAAGGTTTGCTTAGACTGACATTCCCTTTCTGGCATAAAAGGTACTTGTATCTAGGCAGATTCTACCCATTTCTGATAAACTGCAAGTTAAGACACACTGAACTGAAAGTGGAATACGTCTGTGTTTAATAAACTCCAGTGGACTTATGTGTTATGCAGTTCTCTACCCTCTTCTTTTTCTGCATCAGGCATTTCAGTCTGTAAGGCATTGTAGAAATACAGTCAAAATTCTTCCTGGAGTTCTTTCCTGCTTTTTTTGACATGAACATCACAGTTTCTCTACTAAGAGCTCTAGACTGATAGTTCTTTATAACAAGTAGATATGTCATAAATAAGTCTTGACACTTTTATCCATGCCTTAGCTCTCTGCTTTTCTTCTACACCACAGACCTTCTGGCTCTTCGTCCAAGCAACGATATAAACATGCCTCTGTGTTTTTCCCAGAACTGTCTCTTTTATTCTGCTTCCTTTCTTCACTTGCCTTTCAGCATCTCTTAATTATCTCAGTTGCTTCTCACAACAAACTGGGAAATGTCATTAGTAAATCATCTTTACTCTTTCCCTAAAAAATTGATTGGACTGTGTTGGAAAACCATTCTAGTCCAGTCCCATTCAAAGGACCTAATTTAGTTGCTGTGGAAGCTAGTGAACAGCTTTTCACCGACACTAGTTATCTTTGGACTTAATCTTAAGAGCAAGGATCTTTAAGGTTTTCTCAGGTGATCTTTTCTCTGTTTTTCTTTCCACCGGC